AATAATAATAATAATAATAATAATTAATAATAGTAAAGAACCATAAAAAAATACAAAAATTAAAAAAAAATCAAAAGTGAGAAAAAATATATGTATGTTGTGTTGCCAATAATAAGAGAAACAATTGAGACCCTGCAATTGTGTGTAAATGAGGCAGAAAGTCAGATCAGCAACCTGGGACTTGGTCACAATTTTCGTGATGCCATATGGCAGCAGGGTCCACCATAGACAACACATTATGCTTCCAATATCCAGTGGTGGGCACTGTTCCGCTAATTAGCAAAGCTAACTTTTTCCTTAGCGGATTAGAGTTTTCTCTAACTTTGGAAACCATTAGCGGACCAATAAGCTTCCGCTAAATTTAGTTCCGCTAACTTTAAGTCCGCTAACAAAATTTATACATGTTTGTTCCTGTCTGTTGTAAGCGTGTGAGGCCGCGACGCGTGTCTCCAACAGCCAGTCAGGCACCCTTGGCTGACTGCTGCGTGTTAGTACGTATAAACGTATAAACGTTCATTTAATTATTTGTGTACACCTTGATCATCATCTGATCTTGGCATGCTATACCTTTTTGGAAAGCTCTATGTCTAAGTTAGCGGTTAGCTTTAACTTCCGCTAATTTTTTTAGCTGTTTAACGTTAGCGAAGTTAACTTTTTAGTTAGCAGATTAGCGAAGCTAACTTTTCGTTTAACTATGTCCACCACTGCCAAATCTTCCCAAGCGGTAGTACCTCCCTGTTTGGTAGCTGCTAATACCTTCTACCTACAATGATGTTATTGTTGTTATTTATTATTGTTATTTGGTTTTTATGTTCTTATATATTTATCATTAATTTTACTGTGGTGTTTGTTTCGTGGTGGGATGAAATGTTTAGAATATTTTAGTTTATATGTATATATATATATTTATGTTTATTTATTTATTTGTTGGAACGTACGTGATGAAATATAATTAAGTTCATTAACTGTTTTGGCATTTAGGTGTTGACTGGTGAATACTGTACAAGGTAACTCTCTCTCCACACACACAAGACAGTTAATAGTTGTTTCACGATTACTCTGTGTGTGTGTGTGTGTGTGTTTTGACGTGAGTGATTGTGAGGATGTTATTTTATTGTGTTTATTTAACTAAAAAGTTCGTTAATGGTGGCGTGAACTGAGACACGAAAACTCCTCATGTTGTGTTCTCTCTCTCTCTCTCTCTCTCTACATATATATATATATATATATATATATATATATATATATATTTATATATATATATATATATATATATATATATTTTCCTCTTTATATATATTTTCTCTCTCTCTCTCTCTATCTCTCTTTCTCTCTCTCTTTCTCTCTCTCTCTTCTCTCTCTCTCTCTATATATATATTATATATATATTTTTTTTATATATATATATTTATATATTTATATATATATATATATATATATTTTTTTTATATATATATATATTTTAATACATATATATATATATTTTTTTTTTATATATATATATATATATATTTTTATATATATATATATATATATATATATATATATATATATATATATATATATATATATATATTTTATATATATATATATATATATATATATATATATATATATATATATATATATATTTATATATATATATATATATTTTATATATATATATATAGAGAGAGAGAGAGAGAGAGAGTTGGGAATTGCTTATAATGTAATAATTGAATCTCGTATATCTTTCAATAATAATAATAATACGTAACTTATTTCTAATATAATACATAAATTTACTCATGTATGGTCCCCCGCCAGGTAGATAGCACAAGCTCCCCCTGTACTTCCTTCCCTCTTCTAACTTTACCTTACCCTTACACCTTCTTGTATCTCCAGAGGCTATAATGTTTCTTTCCCTCCATCTAGACCGACCGACAAATGTATGGAATTATTTTCCTGAAAAGGTGTTATTTTCACTGAAGAATTTTTATTTACATCTACTGGGCGTCAGATACTTTCTATTCAAATTATGTTCTTGTAACTTTTTTGTCAGTATTTACAAAAAAATTCCAAACATAACATTTTCCGTTCCATAAGGATTTCAATAATTTCCGTGAGAAAGCAGAGCCAATCAGAGCCTTCCAGTTGTCACCTACACTGAGCCTTGAGCCAATCGGCAGCGACGACAGGTACCAAGTATGTTAGTAAGTGGTGGGTGGATTGAGCGTCGCTACTGGTGATGAGAGAGGTGGTGAAGGTGGAAGGTTCGCAGATGGTACTCGGCCACACAGCTGGTACAGACAAACCTCACAGGCTTCAAGGACGAAAAGTTGTTGTGGGTCTAAGGACACGACTCGCAGCACACACATGATGAAGGTAAGTTATTTCATCACTTTACAATGTATTTACAACACCATACTTCTGCACTTATTAGCTAACTTTACCAGACATTCTTCTCATTAAACACGGAAAAGCAGTGTTGATCTACTGTACTATATAAGGGCATACAATAATCAACTGTGGAACAAAATTACCCACAATCTAATTATTATCACAAAAATATATATTATTATAGTCATTTAGTGAAGATATTTGTGGTTGTTGCTGGAAAACTGCACCGTTATGGTAAACGTTGACACTCATGATAACGTATGTAAAAATTTAAAAGTTCTCTCAAATGTTTATCTTACTCTACAGTCATTTAATCAATTATAACGTGTTTTTTTTTAACTTTCATTGTAAAAGTAACTCTTGAATCACCCATTCCGCAGTTAACTTTATTATTTGAGTTATTAGAAAATGATTTGATTCCGCCCAATGAGAGTTAAGTAATTCTGGTGATGGTTGACAGGGGGCGATGATGGTGATGGTAGCAGCAATGGTGGTGGTGGATATGGAGAGCCAGGGTGTACACGGTGCCTCATTCTTCATCAGGGTGCCAGGGGTAATGCTCACGGGATCTGTTGCTGATACTACGCTGGTAAGTATTGATTCATCATTCTCTCTCTCTCTCTCTCGGTGACGTAATTCAATATAATGGTGAGTAGAATCATATAATCTAACTTGGTTGTTGTTTTGGTTGTGGTGATGGTGGCAGGTCTCCTCGCGTATCCAGTGCGCCATGTTATGCAGTGAGGTATCGTGTAGGGCCTTCACACTCCTTAACACCAACGCACGGAAGGAGTGTACACCATACCACACCATCACCAGGGCAGACAGTGTGGTCGAGGAGGCGTATGAGACCTTCGCTGAGGAGCATAGTGGTAAGTTGTGATTACTTGTACTGTACTGGGTATCCGTTGACGTCACATGGCATAGGTGTGATTTGCTTGACCATTAAACCTCCCTCACTGCTATCATATTGTCATGCCTGTGGGAAGCTCATCAGTATATCATGGTAGGCAATAACCTGTACATCGTACCTGGCAGGCACATCGCAAACAGGCAATGCCTGCATCATGGTGACAACCAACACTGTATACATCATGGTAGCCAATAACCTGTACATCATGGTAGCCAATAACCTGTACATCATGGTAGCCAATAACCTGTACATCATGGTAGGCAATAATCTGTACATCATGGTAGGCAATAATCTGTACATCATGGTAGACAATAACCTGTACATCATGGTAACCAATAACCTGTACATCATGGTAACCAATAACCTGTACATCATGGTAGCCAATAACCTGTACATCATGGTAACCAATAACCTGTACATCATGGTAACCAATAACCTGTACATCATGGTAGCCAATAACCTGTACATCATGGTAGCCAATAACCTGTACATCATGGTAGCCAATAACCTGTACATCAGCAGTGACAATAGCCTGTGACCCACATCATGGTAGCCAATAACCTGTACATCATGGTAACCAATAACCTGTACATCATGGTAACCAATAACCTGTACATCATGGTAGCCAATAACCTGTACATCATGGTAGCCAATAACCTGTACATCATGGTAGCCAATAACCTGTACATCATGGTAGGCAATAATCTGTACATCATGGTAGGCAATAATCTGTACATCATGGTAGACAATAACCTGTACATCATGGTAGACATTAACCTGTACATCATGGTAGACAATAACCTGCAGATCAAGGTAGACAATAACCTGTAGATCATGGTAGCCAATAACCTGTAATCTCCTTAACTGTGGCCAAGTTGTCTACGATTAACTAAACATTACAGTAACATTGCACAAAAAAAATATTCCTTAGTCTGAAATGTACAGGGTATGTATATATGTATGTTTATTTTCGTTGTTAACGGCCAGATATTTAAAAGCTGCCATATGACTAATTTATATTTGTACAGACAACACTAAAAATGACACACACACACACACGGTTCCAAAGACTGTATCGTGCCCACTTAAACACCTAACCTAACCTAACCAGACAACGCAAGGAACACACTACTCAAGAGTTCCTTTATGTTCCGCAGAGAAGACGTTGAGAGACATGGCGTACCCTATCACAACTCAACCCACGACAATTCAGCCCACCACAACTCAGCCCACCACAGCTTAGCCCACCACAACTCAGCCCATCACATACTGGCATTCCCTTGGACCTCTTAAGGTTGTAACAATATCACAAATTCACAAATTACACTTTGTACTATAGGTCCAGGAATAGATCCCACCAAATTATCACCTCATTACTATGGGGTATATTGAAATACATGAAGTAGTTGTAATAACAGAATATATTAACAAATAATCAATAAAATAAATATATCAGTATGTACAAAAATAAACAAATACAAGTTAAATCTGATCAAATAAATGACTCAACCGAGTGACAAAATAATGAACACAAAAGTAAAGACTTATTTAGTCTAGAAACTACGATGAACAACGTGGTCAATCCACCACACGAAACCTCATAAATAAATAAGATATTTTCCGTGGAACTCCAAAATATGATTAACAATAATTTTTCACAAATAATACTTTACTTGGTGTTATAAAAGTCGAGCAAGGTTTACACGTTATACCACTAGAAACATACTGTACAATAAGAAAGGTGAAATAGGAACCAAGTCTGTGTGGGTAGAAATCACGGAAGGAAGAGAAAAACTAATTATGGGAGTGATTTACAGGCCCCCAAGTCTTGGCAAAGAAGCAGCTCAGCCCATATGGCAGGAAATGAGTAGGGCAGCAAAATATAACAACCTATTCATTATGGGGAGGGGGATTTCAACTTCAGAAATATTGACTGGGACAACATTGTAGGCGACTATGAATCTGAAGACTTCCTAGACGCAGTACAGGACAATTTTTTGAAACAACTAATTACAGAACCTACTAGAGGTGACAATATATTAGACCTAGTATTAACAAATAAAGAAAATATTATCAGAGATATCACAGTAGGGGAAGAACTAGGTAACAGTGATCACAGAGAAATCAGGTTCACCCTAAATTGGGAAACGAAAAACAATGACAATATGGTCAGAGTCCCAAACTTTCGGTTGGCGGATTATCAGGGGTTAAGAAGGTACCTAGGTGAGGTCACCTGGGAACAGTCACGTCAGTTCCCAGTAGGAAGGGGTGAGGTCATAGATGACACAACAATTGATCATGACTATAATATATTCACTAGTATACTACATAAAGCACAAGAACAAAATATACCATACAGAAAAATTAGGTCAAATAAGAATGAGCCAAGGTGGATGACCAGAAAACTTAAACATGACATAGGAATAAAGAAAGGAATATATAAGAAATTAAAGGGAGGGGAGGAGCAGCTCAGAAACAGGTATAATGAACTATCTAGGAATGTTAAGAAAAATGTAAGGAAAGCAAAGAGAGACTATGAAATCAAAATAGCAAGAGAATCCAAGGCGAATCCCAAAGGATTTTTCCAGTTATATAGGAAAAAGGTCAAGGACAAAGTTGGGCCTTTATAGTCAGGGAGGGGAGAAGTGATAAATGGCAGTGAAGAAATAAGCAAAGCATTGAACAGCTATTTCTTATCAGTTTTCACAGAAGAAATTTGCGAGGAAATTCCAGAGGTGGAACTGATATTTAAGGGAAAGGAAGAAGAGAAATTAAAGAATATCACTATCAGAAAAGAGGATGTTCTTAAGATAAATAAACTAAAGAAAACAAAATCCCCAGGGCCGGATGAAATTTTCCCTCGAGTCTTGGAAGAGTGTAGGGAACAGATTAGCGGACCCCTCGTAAACATATTTACAAAATCATTAGACACTGGAGTTGTGCCAGACTTGTGGAAACAGGCAAATGTAGTACCCATATTCAAAAAGGGAGACAGAGCATCAGCGTCAAATTACCGGCCGACCAGTTTGACGTCAGTAGTGGGGAAATTTCTTGAATCAATTATAGCAGATAGCATCCGATTGCATCTAGAGAAAAGCAAATTAATCTACGACTCTCAACATGGGTTTACAAAGGGAAAATCTTGTCTAACAAATCTGCTAACGTTTTTTAGGAAAGTCTTCGAGGTAGTAGATAATGACGAAAATTACGATGTTATTTACTTAGACTTTAGCAAAGCATTTGACAGAGTACCGCATCAGAGGCTTCTGAGAAAAATTAAGGCTCATGGTATCGAGGGGAAAGTTTTAAATTGGATAAAATCATGGCTCACCGATAGAACGCAGAGGGTCAGCGTAGATGGTGTTAAATCTGAATGGGGCCGTGTAACCAGTGGGGTTCCCCAGGGGTCAGTACTAGGCCCACTCTTGTTCATAATCTACATAAACGATCTAGATATTGGGACCAGCAGTGACATAAGCAAGTTTGCGGATGACACCAAAATAGGGCGGCAAATTAATTCAGGGCAGGATGCAAATGCATTACAGGAGGATCTAAATAAACTGCAGGGGTGGTCTGAAAAATGGCAAATGAAATTCAATACCAGCAAGTGCAGCGTACTTAATATTGGAAGAACAAATACTTATAATGTATACAGCCTTAATAACATTAACCTAGAGAAGTCGACTTGTGAAAGAGACCTTGGGGTACTTGTAAGCCCGGACCTACGGCCTAGAAAACAGTGCGTTAATGTTCGAAATAAGGCAAACAGAGTATTGGGTTTTATATCTAGAAGTGTAAGTAACAAGAGTGCAGAGGTCTTATTGCAACTATTTCTTGCGCTAGTCAGGCCGCTCCTCGATTATGCGGTTCAGTTCTGGTGCCCATATTATAGAATGGATATAAATTCACTAGAGTCGGTGCAGCGAAGAATGACAAAAATGATTCCGGGACTTAGAAACCTTCCATATCAGGATAGATTAAAGAAACTTAACTTGCATTCCCTAGAAAGACGAAGAGTGCGAGGAGATATGATAGAAGTATTTAAGTGGGTGAAAGAAATCAATAAAGGGGATATAAATAAAGTTCTTATAATATCCGAGCTGGATAGGACTCGGAGCAACGGATTTAAGTTGGATAAGTTTAGGTTTAGGAAGGAGATAGGAAGAAACTGGTTCACAAATAGGGTGGTGGACGAGTGGAACAAGCTTAGCAACTTTGTAGTGAGTGCGGGAATTCTGGAATGTTTCAAAAGGAGGCTAGAGATTCATGGATGATAGAGAGTGGTAGTAACTCTCGACAGGAGCTGCCATGCACAGGCCAACCGGCCTATTGCAGACTCCTTATTTTTTTATGTTCTTATGTTATGTAAAGGAGATACTCTGTACTTAGCTAAACACTGCCGGGCCCATACTAAAGTAAACAAAGCGAGCGGACGCGGCAGAAATGACATCATAAACAAAAGACGTTCACGTTGCGAATCCACAGCCAACGATGGAACGCTCACTCGTAACACTACGCATAACCCACCCCTCTACCACCACTACTTCTACCACAGCCTCTACCACAACCCAGCGTACCACCACCTCTACCACAATGCAGCGTACCACCACCTCTACCACAATCCAACGTACTACCACCTCTACCACAGCTCAGTCATCCAACCTAGGCTGGAGCTTCGGGCTAGGCTTGTCGATCTCAGATGCTAATAATAATACCTGGTGACTGAGACAATAGGCCTATTGTGTTACCTGGCGGATCTGAGACACTAGGCCTATTGTGTTACCTGGTGACTGAGACACTGGGCCTATTGTGTTACCTGGTGACTGAGACACTAGGCCTATTGTGTTACCTGGTGACTGAGACACTAGGCCTATTGAGTTACCTGGTGGCTCTGAGACACTAGGCCTATTATCTTTTCATATTTATTTTTATTTTGATCCCTTTAATATGGTTTATATATAGTGGGTTGGTTGGTTGTGTCTCCAGTACATACATCTCTTGCATTACTAAATTTGACTATCAATTTCAATACTATACCAATGATAAAATTAAATACGCCAATACAGCTGAACACACACACACACAGACACACACACACACACACACACACACTCACTCAATTTATAAATCATACAACAAGTGATTCAACTACATCGTATAACAATTAACACAAACGGAATAAAATACACACCTTTCTCACTGTATTATTTGCCGACCAATTAAATACATGTTACCGGACAAGAGTTAAAAGATTGTGTTTACCTACGAACTAAAACATTGGCTGCCACTTAGTCTATCATGCAACACGCTCTCTTACTTCTTGCGTGTTTGTCTGTGTGTGTATCTCTCTCTCTCTCTCTCTCTCTCTCTCTCTCTCTGCAAATAAACTAAGTATAAAGTTAATGTTTCCTTCCAACTTAAGTTCTTACAATTATCTAAGTTTAAAAGTCATGTTGTTTATGGTAGCACTTCCATGTACTGTATATTGTTTTTTGTGTGTTATTATCTGTTGAGAATTTAGTAGAAAAAAGCTCTAATTTATATTGATATATTAATCTCTGTTGAAAGTATTGATGAATGTTCGCCTCAACCATTCAGTACGCTAATGGGTGAGTTCTGTACTGACCAATCATTACAAGTTTAGTTATTTGTCAAAACTATCTACCCTCGCATACTCACATAACCCAACAAGTAGGTAGTATGTAGTAGGCAGCTACCAAACAGGGAGGTACTACCGCCTGAGAAGATATTGGAAACAAAATGCATTGTCTCATGGTAGACCCTGCTGCCATATGGCATCACGAAAATTGTGACCAAGTCCCACGTTGCTGATCTGACTTTCTGCCTCATTTACACACAATTGCAGGGTCTCAATTGTTTCGCTTACTATTGACAACACAACATACATATATTGTTCCTCACTATTAATCTTTTTTATGGCCCTTTATTATTATTATTATTATTATTAGAATATCTAATTTAAAAAAATATAATTGTTATTACTATTATTATTATGACCCTGCATTATTATTATTATTATTATTATCTAACCCCCAATTTTTTTGAAGATTTTTTTCTGCGGGAATATCCCACCGGGGCAAAGGTTAGTGACCCACTAACCTTTGCCCCGGTGGGCTAATCCCGTAGAAAAAAATAATCTTAAAAAAAATTCTCCAATAATTACAAGACTCGGATGTAACACTGAATCTCCTCCTCCCTAACAGATAAACAAAAGAGCATCGAGTGATCAGGATGAGGAAAAGTCATGTTATTAATTACTAATATTATTAGGAGGAATCTTTCTATTGATGTTTGTTTACGCCGATACACAAACACTGACCACCAAGTGACAAGATTATTCAACCAATACACAAAAATCATGAGAATATTTTTTTTTTTTCTGTTGGCCGACATCTCTTCATTCTGGCTCCTTTCTGCTAAAATTTTCCATTCTGCGTTCTAGTTAGTTTTCCCCTACGAGCTAATGCCAGAGTGGTTAGGTTAGGTTACAACTGAGTTAGAAGTTTCAGAAGGTTGTGTATAGCAGAAAAGAGCTAGAAAAAAAAAAGACCGCTGACAGTTCCCGGGAAGGAGTGCGAGGTCCGACCCACTACAATGCTTGCTTGGGGTGTTCGTTGGGCATCACACATAGAGGACTCTTCTTGGCGAAACAATCCTCGTCGGTGAGGTAATGGTAGTGTTCGTAGGAGAGGGAGGCACAGTGACCCACGGGAGGTGACGTAGGGGCCTGGACGTATTTGTAACACTCGCTATCGTTAGCCGCCATCGTGCTGTTGAGGAAGGTGTAGTTGGTGGTACTCTTCACGCATGGCTCTTGATGTCTGGAGAGAAAACGAGAGGGTTATGTCTTAATTTTCTCGATATTGTCTTTATTTATTCTGTTGATCTGTATTTTTATTTATATTTGTGTTTAGTTTTCCTGAAGTTTAGAAATATAGCGAAAATCACTATGAATGTCTAATCCACTTAAGAGAAAATACTTGCCTATGTATGGCAGGTGTTATATATTGTATACTGTATATTATGTTTCATATATACAACAGCGTGCAAAGATGCGTGAACCTAAAGACAAATGACTGTCAACGTATGCGCTGATGTAACACTTTAAGACAAATGACAGTCGACTCATGTTGTGTTTTGACGATAGACGATGTGAGGGAAGCAACGGAAGAAGTTTGATGAACACGTCAGTCGGTCTTTGGCAATATCTTAGGAATTTTGTGTTTATTGTGTTTACGTTTTATGAAGAAATATTTAAATTTCTGGAGGATTCACTAAGCCCTGAACTTGTTGTGTAGTTGGGGCATGTTAGAAAAGATCGAAAGTGTCTGTTACAGTGAAGAGCACTATCGCTTCCCCGCTGATATTATAAACGACATCAGCACTAAAACACTGACGGAAAACGGAGTATTACCGGTGCCAATTTTGTCTCTGTGAGCACTAAGAGAAAGATTTGATAAGGAGATTGATCAAGAAAGTCTCATTTGTCTGATGATAAGATAATAAAGCTCATTTATAAATGGTTGACAGCAGGAAAAATCAGTGTAGACACCCAGGGAACTGCGTCGAGAGATTACAGTTTAATATGACGGAGAGAAATGGAAGACTGGTGAAACGAGGAATATTAACAGATGACGATGAAGGAACATAAGCCCAGGGATCCAGGAATTCATCGTTAACCATTTAAAGAACTTTGTGGGTAGAGGACTGCGTGGTGTTCCTCCCCGTGTGTGTGTTGAAGGATGTCCTCTCACTTCTTGGGATATATGTTAAAGTGGTTCGGCAATAAGTGGTGTTCTGTGGACCAGTGGAAAAATTCCATCACCTACAGGTGGCTAATTGGGTCGCTGTTTAACCCTTTGAGTCCTGAAGGGTTAAACCATCGCCGTCAAAGAACATCAGAATGGAGGAAACTGCAGCGGGCCTATTGGCCCATACTGGGCAGTCCAGCGAATTCGAGTTAATGATGATATTTGGTAACTTGTTCCATTCATCCACTACTCTGTTTCCAAACCAGTGTTTACCTATTTCGTGCCTAAATCTAAATTTGTCTAATTTAAAACCATTGTTACGAGTTCGCTCCTGGTTGGATAGTTTGAGTACCTTTGTAATGTCCCCTTTGTTTAGCCCTGACTTCCATTTATACACCTTTATCATGTCGCCCCTCGCTCTACGTGTCTCGAGGGAGTGCAAATTAAGATGCTTTAACCTGTCTCTATACTCAAGGTTCCTAATGCCCCGGATTAGTCCTGTCATTCTCCTCTGAATTCTTTCCAAGGATTCTATATCCATTCTGTAATACGGTGACCAGAACTGAACTACGTAATCCAGGTGAGGTCTCACAAGCGCAAGATATAATCATAAGATGACCTCGCTAGTCTTGTAAGTAACACTCCTTTGTATGAACCCAAGTACTTTATTAGCCTTGTTACGAGCAAAAACACATTGTTTACTTGGCTTAAGGTTCCTACTTACCATTACTCCTAACTCTCTCTCGCAGTCGGATTTCTCAATGGCATCGTTGTTCATCTGGTAACTGGTTTCCCTGTTTACATCTTCTATACTGAGTACTTTACATTTGTCCATGTTGAATTTCATCTGCCATTTTTCAGACCATTCGAATAATTTGTTTAGATCCTCCTGTAGTTTTGCAGAGTCCTCGTCAGATTTAATAACACGTCCTAGTTTAGTGCCATCAGCAAATTTACTTATGTTGCTGTCTATCCCGATATCTATGTCATTTATGTATATAATAAATAATAATGGTCCAAGTACTGAGCCTTGGGGAACTCCACTAGTGACGTTGCTCCAATGGGATTTAGTGCCGTTAATGCTCACTCACTGTTTCCTGTCCTGTAACCACGCCCTAATCCATTTAAGGATATTACCTTTGATGCCATGTGCTTCTACCTTTCTAATTAATCTTTCGTGGGGGACTCTGTCGAAGGCTTTGCTAAAGTCGAGACATACCACATTATAATTGTGCCCCTCGTCCACCGATTCGACAACTGATGAAAAGAATGTTAATAGATTAGTTAGACATGAACGCCCGCTTGTGAAGCCATGCTGGGAATCATTGATCAATTGGTGCTTCTCCGGGTGATTTCGAATAGAGTTTGAAATGATTGCTTCCAGTAATTTGCCTACTATTGATGTTAGATTGATTGGACGGTAGTTAGAAGATAGTGATCTATCCCCCTTCTTGAAAATCGGTATTACATTCGCTATCCTCCAGGATTCTGGTACTACACCTGTTTTTAAGGACATGTTAAACAACTTTGCTAAGGGCATACTAAGCTCTTCCTTACATTCCTTTAATACTCTGGCAAATATCTCATCGGGACCAGGTGACTTATTAGGCTTTAGTTTGTCTATTTGCTTACAAACATCGTTACTAGTCACTACTATCTCGCTTAATTTGTTTTCTTCACTATCTCTGAATAGAGTCGGTGCCCCGGGTATCATGTTTAAAATTTCGGTGGTGAAAACTGTTGAAAAATATTTATTCAGATTACTGCTCATTTCTCTGTCGTTATCAGTTAGCTCGCCGGTATCTGACTGTATTGGTCCAATCTTTTCTCGTGTTTTAGTTTGATACATTTGGTAGAATCCTTTGGGGTTTGTCTTCGCCTCTCTTGCTATCGTCACCTCATTATTGGGTTAAACCATCGTCGTCAAAGGGTTATAATGTGTTTAGTACGCCTCGACAACTATTAAAGTGTTTTAACGCGTATTATAGATTAGTAAATACTATACACGAGTCATCAACATTTAGACATTATAAGATACATCCTTAATTGATTACGTCACTAGATTATGTTTATTTTATTTTATTTATATATTTTTTTTAATACTGGTATAAAAGTTAAAGTTAGTGTGGTTGAAAGAACATGGAGTCTCGCTATATAGACGACGGGGAACTCTGAAACTCTCCTCTTTCTGCGTCGGGGATCATGAATGAGTATGTTATCTATATTCCTATTATTGAAACACCTGAAGGACTTACCTGACGGCCCATAAGGGAGAACCAAGATACATAGGGGAGTTGTCGAGCCAGGTCCAGCCCAGAGTGTCATTGACGTAGCCTCCGCCCACCCAGAAGTCCGCCGTCACCACTGTTACATATAAACCAACTCACTATAAAAATCCAATCGAGTTTCTCTTACTCTCAGTGGTGTTTAGAGACGTATATAAGTTAACACGTACTATTTCTTAACATAACCTAACCACCCCAACGCTAACTTAACCTGTCCTACCCTAACGTATCCTAATTTAACCTAACCTCACCTAGCCTAAACTAACTTAAACTAGCCTAACGTTAACTTAACCTATCCTAGCCTAACGAATCCTAATTTCAAGTAACCTAACCTATCCGAATTTAAGCTAACCTAACCTCACCTATCCTAGGCTAACCTAACTTAAACCACCCTAATGCTAACTTAACCTATCCTAGCCTAACGTATCCCAATTAAACTAACCTAATCTATCCTAATTTAAGCTAACCTAACCTCACCTATCTTGATCATTAAAGAAACAGGTAAAAGTGAATGAGACTGGTACTGACGATGGCGTCTTAGGTGATGTAGGACGGTGGAGAAGACGTTCAGGTCATCCTTCAAGGAGAACAAGTCACCTCCGATGATTTTACAGAAGGTTCTGGCCTCCATCCAACCCATCTACCGGGCCAACATTAAGTTAGAAAAAAATAAATATAATCTACATAGTGTGTATTAAAGACTAGCATTTTACTTCAGTATGACTCAAATTTGTTTACACACTAAAGTAAAAGGTAACCAAAGCTTAGCCACTTTATACAGAGAGACATTTTGTAAACACTATTGATTATAATGCCAGGGGCTTACGGAGCCGAGAAAGAAGACAGAGAGACACTGTTTCCCCACTTTGGTGTAGAGCCAAGGACAATCTGCGTCACGGATGGTGTTGTTTAGCTTGAACAAGAATTCGTCTGACCAGTTTTCGTTCTTCATGTGGATGGATGGGTCAGTTATCGCGGGTACTGAAAAATATATAATCTTGTTAATATTACCCTCATCTGACTACCAGTTTATATAAGGAGTTACATCACCCTGGATCGATCACTGTTCATCGTAAACTTTGCCACTCCGAAAACAAGTCACGCTAATAGTTGTTGTACTAGTAATTTCTGGCATCTTAAACTTGTAATTATTGAACTAGTGACAACTGGTATATTTTCGTATATTTGTCTCAAGTCCCGTCTCGTCCAATTTTGCCTATCAGTAGAAGACTGAGGTGAATACTTGCCTGGATACTTCTCGTCCATTCTTACACAGTGCGTGAACCTTACCACACCAACACACGCGACGACATTGACAAACATATATATGCTTATAATATGGAAAAATCGATGTGGTGTCTTAATATGGCGTCCTAATAGAGAGGGACGATTCAGCACATTTTTATGTCATTGGGAAGAATCAAGTCAGCACGCGCTATTTTTTGCGTATGACCGAACTCACCTGTAGGCTCTGGGGTTGGAGTAGTCAGCTGGATGGCGTAGAGAGCCTGGAGCTTCTCGTTACGTAACATCTGAAGAGACACAGGTGTTCAGTAGGTGTACTGTACACGTAAAGCATCGAAGCATGCCTGTATATTGACGCACACAAATATAACTATATAAATATTACTCGCACACACTGTACATATAATACATATACATACAATTGGGCATATACCGACATGCAAATCAAATCAAATGCACACACACACACACACATATATATATATATATATATATATATATATATATATATATATATATATATATATATATATATATATATATATATATATGTATAAGTACACAGTATACACCTGTGAAAGTGAAGCCAAAATTATATAATCTATGACATAAAGTATCATCAATGGTGTAGCGTGTACGATCACGAATATCTTATAATGTCATGAAAAGCGAAGAGAGAGAGAGAGAGAGAGAGAGAGAGAGAGAGAGAGAGAGAGAGAGAGAGAGGACTAACTCCACAGATACGGGGGTCCAAGGAGCCCTCACACAGGGATGACTTCTGCAGTAGTTTGTTGGTGGAGACACAGCTAGATATGGAACCCGTCTTACATAGTGCCCTGCTTAGAACACAGTCAGTGTTCTTCCATACCTGAAGAAAGAAGAATGTTACTTGTACAGTATTTCCACCACTTCTGCCACCATCACCACTACATCACTGCTATCGTTGCTACGTCACTACTACCATCGCTACATCACCACCACCGCCATCATCACAAACATTCTGTAAACAAAATATATATTATAAACTGTTTTAACGCACACACACATCACTACATCCTTGACCACTGGAGAGTCAAGACCTATCGGGCCCTGCCCCTGCTGCAGCAGTTGCCTCAGCCAATGTTGGCCCATTCCCCAAGCCCCCATCCTCGACCCACCCTCACCACCGGGTTATCAACATAATCCTGCCAAAAGTGACAATTTCGTTTTGGAAACTCGTGGGCTCAGTGTTCACAGTGGAAACAGTGTTTAAGCCAGTGAATTCAGCACTAGACAGTGCCAGCGAGCGCATAACCCACCAGTGAGATCCACACCCCAGAGATAAGCACCCCTCGGAACCGACCACCATTTTCTGACCAGGCAGTGTTAATCAGTCCACCCTGGGAATAACCGTGGGCCGGCTTTACACCTGACCACAAGAAAACTGAGCACCACCTAGCAGAGAGTGAGGTACTGTGACACCCCCTCACCATCAGTGTCTTCACAAGCATCGTGAGGTCCTTCATATCAACACCTACGGACGAGTTACTGCACCACGTGAACACCACACCACCCGGTGTCTCCATGACCACGTGAAGTCCTTCATATCAACATCTGCGGACGAGTTACTGCACCACGTGAACACCACACCACCCAGTGTCTCCATGACCACGTGAGGTCCTTTATATCAACATCTGCGGACGAGTTACTGCACCACGTGAACACCACACCACCCGGTGTCTCCATGACCACGTGAAGTCCTTCATATCAACACCTACGGACGAGTTACTGCACCACGTGAACACCACACCACCCGGTGTCTCCATGACCAGGCCGTCCTTTGGGGGCGAACAGGGGCGACAGCGGGGGCGCGCGTGTGGGGGCCCAGCACTAGACCCAGTGACCTCGGACACATTACCTGTTGACTGGTTAATCTGATCTGACGGCTTACGCCACCATCACAACCGTGACCTTACCATCCATAGCGACAGTCCCATGGGGGGTTGGTGGGGTGGGTTCCTCTGACCGCATAATCTGGGGCCCCGCAGTGGCTGAGTTGTCCCGGGCCCTGCACTCTCCTTGGGACGGCCCTGCCCATGACCATGTGAAACCCTACTCACACAGTAGGGCAAGAGACCAGCCCGGGCCATCAACTGTAAACTTTAATTTGTTTATTCAATTCATGTTCCTTCTCCTTTTAGTAATGAAAGCTTTTGTTAACGACCCACCTACCCCATGTCTTTGTATATATAGTCATTTCTGCCCAATGTGTATTTTCAGCCTTCGGATTGCTGAACTTTTTTCAATAAGCCGTTAATTATTATTATTATTGCACGCACACACACACACAAATATACACACACACACACACACACACACACTTCCGCTACCTGTCCTACATATAAGGCCGTCGTATATACCTATGACGCCCTTTCTAACTTGCTGACACTCTGACACCTTCCACAACGGACCACTGACATTTCTTGACACTCACTGACCCATCCACATATCATAATCCTTACGTATCACCCCCACCTTCTGAGACTATTCTACTAAAAATAAAGTCTGTCAGGCTCTTACCTCACAAATGGAAGGATCCTCATCACTACCGTCGCCGCAGTCGTTGTCGTTATCACAAATGTACCTAATCCTAGTGCATCTCTCCGACGAAGCGCAGTGGATCTGGTCTGCCTCGGGACACGTCGCTTCGGCTGAGGGAGAAAGAATATGTCTTTATAATACAATGGCTGGAGGGTTCATTGTGGTCATTTGGTGGTGGTGGTGGTTGTTGATGTTGTAGTGGTAGTGTGAATGTCTGTTGTTGTTGATGGAGGGGGTACGCTGATGATGGTAGTAATATTAGTAGTAGTGGCGTGGATGGTATACAATGTTATGATGGTGGTGTTTGCGACGTATTAATAGTAGTGGTGGTTGTGATTGTTGGTGCTAGCGTATGGATGGATGGAACGGTCTAGAAGAGTGGTGATTCAATCCATGTAACCCCTGACTCTCTCCTGTTGTGTGCATTACGAATATTGATGCATCCCACCAGAACGTACCAGCATCAACCACAGCGAGGCCCTCAACACAGCAGTAAGAGGTGTGATACTCACCGGCCCAAAGGCAACACAGCATCAACCACAGCGAGGCCCTCAACACAACAGTAAGAGGTGTGATACTCACCGGCCCAAAGGCAACACAGCATCAACCACAGCGAGGCCCTCAACACAACAGTAGAGGTGTGATACTCACCGGCCCAAAGGCAACACAGCATCAACCACAGCGAGGCCCTCAACACAACAGTAAGAGGTGTGATACTCACCGGCCCAAAGGCAACACAGCATCAACCACAGCGAGGCCCTCAACACAACAGTAAGAGGTGTGATACTCACCGGCCCAAAGGCAACACAGCATCAACCACAGCGAGGCCCTCAACACAGCAGTAAGAGGTGTGATACTCACCGGCCCAAAGGCAACACAGCATCAACCACAGCGAGGCCCTCAACACAACAGTAAGAGACATGATGATCTAGGATGAGGTTGATCGACTTATGAGACAGTCTGTAAGATAATTCTCAATTAGTAATATTATTCTCTCTCTCTCTTAGTATGTCTGAACTCAATCAATGTCTAGACACTGTGAAACCAAACGACAATTCCAAAACAAACAAAAACGATATTTCCAACAGGCCAGGAGAACACTCGCTCGTCTTCTGCTTACAGAAGATTAAGGGAGTAAAGGGAGAGACTGAATACCTGTGCTAACGTCTCCCTCTGATGGCCGCTGGACTAAAACTGAACTCCTATCAGTAGGCAGCCATTAGTGTCGAACCTAGTCAAAGTCGCGTATGATTGGTGGAACCCAACCAATCACAGTTTGAAGCCACACGTGGAATTGGCTGCTCAAATACAGCCAATCAGGACTTTATTCCTGTATCACACCCGCCTCTCACTTTATTAGGTAATTTAAGGAGAATTTCACTGCTGGTATCGGGGCGGTGTTCATATGTCAGTACCAGAAAAGCAAATGCAAGTGTTATTCCTCTTCAATAGTAAACAATATTTCATTAGATATACAAAACACCTTCAGGAATATACTCTCAAAAAACTTAGCTGAGAAGAAGAATAAGAGGAAGAAAATAAAATAAAATTATGATAGTTAATATAGACTCTTATTCATAATTAAATAACTCTCTAATATAGTCCCTAATTCACCATGATATAGAGTAGGTCAGTGTTACAAACATTGACTCAGTTCACGACACTGTGTATTAGAGAGAAACCTGAACCGAGTGCCCCCTCTGGTGATAGTGACGTTTAAGTTGTATTGTACTCTGCACTGACATCACAATCTCTTATACCATGACGACCAGAGACGCCCACCTCTCTTACAACCCGAACAAACATTAAATCTCTCAGCGGCGATAACAATTATTATTATTATTATTATTATGTCCTAACAAGTGTTCGACAGATATTATGGGATAACGAGTATCCTTAAATTAAACTCTTGAATGTGTTGACAGATCTTAAAACTTGCCAGTGACGTTGTAGTTCCCTCCAAGATATGGGATACTTTCGACAATATATCCTGTGCACATTTAGGTTTTAGTTGTTATTATCATCACGCATAAATTACTAGTTTATTTGTCTAAATAAACATCCGATTAGCAAACTCTGTGAACTTCAGCTCAAAAGTCATCCAGTACACCCTCATATAACATTAAAAACTCCCTGAACTAGTTTATTGTCGATGTGTCTAATACAATCCTAATGTGTCCGAGTGATATGATGTGTTTGTGAAACGATTATGATTGGCTTATCCGAGATTATCCAGTCAATAAGTACATATTTCTGTCAATGATTTTCCGTACTCTCGCCAATGTACAAGTATTGGTAAACAACGTGAACAAGATGGGTGACTGGGTCCGAATCGGGGTTTTGTCTTGAATCGTGGGAACTGTCGTCCTCTAATCAATAAGACCCCAGGAAATATCGATGTTTAAACAAGTGTGAAGCAAAGTTCAAGCTAACGTGGACGAGAGTGCATTAAATGTCATCGGTGAGTCAATGCACAAGAGCCATTTCCGATACGTTTTTTAAACGAGTTTGCTACCACCAGCGGCTGGGAGGTGGAGTTGTATGGACACACAGGTAATGGTAGCATATTCGCCTCGTGTTGCTTTCATCGACTTTGCTGTCTTTTATCTAAAACAACACAAAAAACATCGAGGTATTCTTTCGATCAACATTCGTCTTAACTAAGGTTTAAGAATACACCTAAATGGCTGATTGGCGCGAAAAAAAAATCAAATTAGACTCACTGCCTTAACTAGATACATTCACTTAGCATCAGTTAAGGGAAAAGTGTGAGGTACAAAATCTATAATCCCGGACTCGTCTGTCGCTAAGAGAAAAAACTACCAGAAGTTTTCTACAGTTCCATACCGAGATAGAACATCGCTAAAAACAAGATGTGGCTCTTTGAAGATCCACGAAGCAGCGCCACTATCACAGTAGAGGGACCCAACAGTGAAACAGCAACAGTCTGCTGGGACAGGAAGTGAATATATGGGGCTATGGTCTGTGGGTATTGTGGAGCCGTAGGTGATAAAAGGAGGGAGCGAGAAAGAGAGAGAGGACAGCAGCGTTCTCACTTCTGGGGAATTTGTTCCCAGACTGGGAATCTGGACACATCTGGGGACAAATCTAGGGAAATGGGCTTTTGGGGAATTTTGAATATTTTGGGGAATAATTAGGGAATTTGAGTGTTTGGTTTATATAATACCAATACCAGGTCTCTGAGTCAACATTTTCCCTGAAAACTTGAAGAGAGAAAGTATTGTGGCTACTACATGGAAAGGAAGGATTGGCATCACTTGGGATACCTGCTGATCTACTGAATTTGTACGATCATCCAAAACTGCTGAAGCTTGTGCGAAATGTCAAGAGCAATACTTCCGATTCAGAAGCTCATCAAATTATTGTTGATATACTCAAGTCATAACTCATAAAATATCATAAACTCTAAACAAAGTGTTGGAATCAAAATTACTTTTTTTTAATTAAGTAGATAATTTGGTATACATTTATGTCTTGATGGAGTCTATACCTTAGATTAAGTACCGGTAAATACTCGAAATGTTAGTGGAGTGTTTACTCTTGTCAGAAAACCAAAACAAGAATTTTATTTTTTCTGCCACAAATATATTAAAGACCACAATAAAACTTTCATTTTAAACTGATATATATATATATATATATATATATATATATATATATATATATATATATATATATATATATATATATACACAGTACTTGTTTTAACAGGCATAAAAAAGATTGACAATACAGGTATAGCTAAATACTTTTATGCGAAGAGAAAATATTATTCATAGTTCATGTAAAATTACAGTAGAATCATAGCACTAATGATTTTCATATATGGAGTAAATTTAATCACTGAATATTGAAAATGAACTTAAAGGCCACGGGGATTAAATAGCAACTAAATTTAGTGCAGTTTTCCTCGGCCGCCGACAACGCCATCTGTAAATAGTAATCAGATGGTCCTTGTAAATACAGGGTACGTACTACCTTTTTGGCCTTACAGGTGAGTAATGCCAGGTAATTAACTGTAAAAATGCATATAGTGTTATCATATTAGTTTACCCTAATTGAAACTGGAAGGGGAAGTAGTATTATAGGTGATTAGTGGCAGGAGAGACAGTTATAGATAGGGATGGAAATTGTCGCTCATTGATCGCCTCAAAGACACTGCGGGAGGTTAGCGATCTGACCATAACAGGATGTGATGTAGTTCATGTCATTATTCCTAAATCAGAGTAGTTTAAGCTGTAAAAGAGACATTATAAACCTTATTTACTAAAGTGCATGTTTGTTCAATGTGTAGGAGATACTCGCCACTGTGTGTAATGAATTTTTTTAATACTAGCACAGTTTTTTCTCTAACGTGTTTATATTGTGTAGAGTAATGTTGTGGCTAGAGAACAAAGGCTACACACATTTCAGTTCAGAAAAATCCTATATTAATCTCCATAAGACTTGGAAAGGTAGGAATCATGTGTTTTTGTTGATATGTTAAACCATTTATGAAAGTAGATGATATGAAGCAGTCAAACCTTACGTACCTGAAGATGCCATAGGAGTGTAAGGTTAGGGTGTGTTAGTTCTTGTTATGTGATAAATAGTTTAGGAGTGTCAAGTGTCAACAGAAACGAGGAACTGCTACCCTCTTCTGGAAATTTAAGTGTGTTTGTAATGAGGTCAGATACATTTTGATAATTTTACCTTTTTTCTAGGACAGTCTTGTGGTTCCTTTTCATCAGGCTGACGGGGATATCTTGCTTATCTTTTAATGGTGGCAGACTCCACTAATTTAGCATACTTAACCCTACCTAACTTAATAAGAATTTATTTCAAGATTGTTAAGTTTGGTTAGGTTTGGTGTGTTCAGGAAAATTCAAAGAGTAAGACTGAGATAGTATTGCTGAGGTTTTGGTAGTTAAACTACATAACTTCTGTGGTATTCATAACAGGAACACAAGTACAGTACAGTTTATATTATGTGTAAAAAGTTACTGCAGTTCTTTCCCGAGTTAGATTTTTGCCACAGCAGACATACTGGTATACTTTTGTTTTTTCTTGCTTTCTATCTCACCAGCTAGGAATAAGGGTAATTGTGCAGATTACAGCAACCAAAGAATTCCGGAAATTCACTTCACTTAATCGATAGAACTATTTTTTCCTATTATAAATTTCTTATATAGTATACACTTCCCTCACAAATTTATAATAATGAAGTTATTGAATTTTAAAAAGAATAAAATCAGAGCACCTGACCCTGACTCGGAGAAAGGTAAGAAATACTGTAACGGCTATTGATATTATTGTGGAGGCTGACCATGCGACTATGGGTTATTATCTAACAGATGGCCCTGCACCCAGCTAGGGCCACTGGGGGTCCGGGGGCGGAGCCCCCCGGTTTGGTGGTTAGGTAAGGTTTAGTTTAGTTGTATTGTATAATCCACAAATCACTCTGGGTTAATACCTAGCATATGGCCCTAGCCCCCGGCTAGGGTCACCGGGGGTCCAGGTTTAGTTTGGTTGTATTGTATAATCCACAAATCACTCGTTTTTTTTGCTCTCCCTCACCCAAAACCCCAAATTCCCACACTCTTCTCCAGTATTGTTATAGGGAAGGGGGGGGGGGAGGGGGAGTAAATCACAAATGAGTGATTTCCGACAAACACGAAGGTCAGATTTGAACTAGTCACATCAAAATCCATGAGAAACCTATTATTTTTTGTTTCAAATTCCATGGTTGCTGTAATATGCATATTCACTGGAATAAGTTTCAATAAATGAAGTGACAGCTCATTTCCAAAAAAATTGAAAAGGGTATTGGAGCTAGGTAATTAATTTAGGCTTGCCAAGATTATAATTTTCATTATCATCATCATCATCACTGTTTTACGGCCATATTCCCCGTGATTACCTAATGGCTTGGTATCACAGCGGCTATCAGGCAAATTTGGAGTAACTTTTATTCTGTTGGTCCAAACAAACTATGGGAGATTATGCCCTGGCCAGGCTTTGCATTAGCCACTTGTTAGCTCAAGAGCTCAAGCCAGTATGTTATGACCACATGGTCCGCTTAACTATAAAACAATTGCCGGCCGAGTGTCCCAGTCTGGGGGACCTTAAGAGGCAGTATCTCTCCAGGACAAGGGGATGGGATTGTATTTATCCATTATCCTTAGTTCTCAGCTGAAGTTTCATTTCCAGAGGATAGAGTTTTTAAGTGTACCATGGAGCCTGGCCTCCTCCAGCATATAGCTATAAGTTATTTTTAATATTTTAAGTACTGTACAATTACAGTATATCTATATGTGTGTGATATTATTGTTATCTTTAGTTTATGTTAAAACATTTTTAGATAGAAAACCCTTTTTAAGTGAATACGGTGTACAGTAACATGATTCATACTATTATGATGTCAGATGCACTGCAGTATACGTATATGCAAATCAATGTACGTCTAACCCACTTTTACAGTGATAACTGAGCATTTTATGTTGGCCTTCTAAGCACTTCTCAGCTGGTAAGGCAGGGTCACAATGGAGTTAAACTACCATAGTGTTGATTGGGATGAAGCACGGACTTGTTTGAATGTTTTGAAGATTCAGGAAAAATAGCCTATATTTGATTATAACATATCTACCTACTACAGGTATTTCCAGTTAGGTGAAGACATTCAGGGGGTTAAGGAGGCCATGACATCTGACATTAAAGCTTCACAATATAATATTTCCATTTTATCATAATCCTCAGCACTGGAAGATAAGTAGAACACATGATTTTAAAATTAGATCTGCTTGTTTCTGGTTGCTAAACTGTTCTTATTTTTTTTGATACAGTACAGATCTTCCCCTGCATTATATATTGTCAATATGTAAAATATAATTCAAAATGACCAATAATTTGCTTGGAAACACAGAAAAAAAGCATTTAGTTGAAGAGAGTCTCAAGCAAGATGTTACCTCCAGTGAAAACAGAGAGAGACTAACTCCTGTTTGCTGTATTAAGAGGCTGGATGCCGCGCATTAAACTAGTCACTTTACCTTCAATTATGTTCAATAATTGTTATAATGACTTAAGAAATTGAATATTAAACTTTTAAAATTATTGAATAGTATAAACTTCTTGATATTTACTAAAATAGTAAGGAATTTAAGCCCTAGAACCGATTAATGTATTGGCGGACTGATACTAAAGCTGGTTGCCCGGTCAGTGCAAGCGAAAACATGTTGAGGTCGGTTCGTAAGAACTTCGTTAACCGAATTTTTTTTCGTTAACCGAATTAACCGAAGGCAGTGTTCGTTAAACGAGGGGTCACTGTATATCAATCAAATGTTAGAGCCCATGTAATATTGGGGGTTTTGTTTCACGGAAAGAAAATGTTGGTCAACTGAAAGGTTTTTCATGCAAAGTTTACCACTATACATCTAGACTGCATGGCAGATAGAAGTTCATATTCTTTAAAGAAAAAAAAAACATGTCAAAATGTGATAGTTAATTGTTAAAGCAAATGTTTGTTTTAGTATAAAGAAAACAAGTTGTCAAAAAGTTTGTGAAAAAGTACTATGCATACTATATGTCCCCGGTATGGATTAAAGAAAAATGAATTGATGCTTCTCAGAATAGTGCATAAAGAGAAAGATGTTGATATCTTAGAAAATTGGGTGTGAATTTTTGGTATAAAAGGATTTTTGTCGCAATACAGTATCTGAAAGTATTGTACTGAAAATAATCGTAACAGTTTTCATATACAGGGTACATGTTAGTGACCTTATTGTCAGTGTGTGAGATTTTGTTTTCACCATAAGTTGACTATTTAGTGTTTAATTTACATTGTTAATAGTTTCAGGTATTAAGGCATGAGACGGCATGGAGCCCCTAGGAGTTAATCCCCAAATAGTGGACGTGTGGTCCCTGCCAACATGGGGAGCAACAAAGACGGGCACTCCTCCTCTACTCCCTCCACAGCCCACACCCAACCACACCACGCCTCCCTTCTCAGTCAACAAAGTTCTCAATAACAAAATATGCCTCTGGTACGCTTACTCATGGATTGTAATTACTGTACTTAGTTTGTAATAAGTTAAAAGTTTACATCAAATTCAGAGATTAATTAATTAATGTTAACCATGATGTAGCAGTGAAATTCAAATTCAAATTTTTGAGTGTTAGACTGTGAGATGCTTTCATTGATGATATTTTTGAAGACATCCACAAGGGTCTTAAGATTAAAATAATGCATGTTTGTAACCTTTTACATTCTGATTAACTATACAGGTAATATAAAAAATTTTGTGAGGGGCATTTATACCACAAAATTTGTCTCATATTTACTCTAATTACCAGGGTATTTTTGTGTGTTAAATATGTAGTTTTCATTTCAGGCCAGGTGATATTACTCGTCTGAATGCTGAGGGAATTGTCCACAGCACTAATGAATCACTCAATGATCGTAATGGCTACAGCGAAAGGCTACTGTTCAAAGCTGGACCTGAATTGAAGAATGAGCTTTATAATAATGTTAAGAGTAAGTTCCATGCTCTTGTTTTCTTAACAAGGTATACCCATTTTGTGTTCTACTCTAAAAGCATCCTTAACCCTTTGCCAGATATGGTTACAGGGTTTGAGGTTTGTGATGATGACATGGTGCAGCTTGATTAAATTTGTGTGCCAGTCAGCTGGGCATGATTTATATCAAATGCCTCTTCCACCATCTTACATTATACAGTATAGTCGGGATTTATGCGGTCAATTGAACCCGTGGAAGTCCGCATAAAACGAGAAACGCGTTAATGAAATAACAGAACATATGGGATTAATTGAAATAGAGACTGGGCCGACCCCCAAACTCCACTTTTTGCCGATACAATACGTACGTTGTAGTAAAAATAGTATCTTAACTTTATGATTGTATGCACACACACACACACATAATATCTAAATAAAAAACTACACTACTGTACAAATAAAGGTGTTTTAAGACTTACGTTAGGAGAAGAGATGGGTCGGCATATGTGGATGGCGGCTGGTTCCGAGGCAGAGGGCAGATTAGTGGCCCTCAGGTGAATCACCGTCACTATCCACCGCAGATGTCAGAGCCTCCCTGACAAATCCCTCAAAGTCAACATTACTGTCACTATCACTGACTTGGGCTGGCTGTGGTGGGTTGTGGGCGAAGAAGTCCATGATGTTACGCTGACGGCTAGTGTTGATGTGTTTGTGATACATCGTGATGTACTGCTCCATACCTTGCTGTAGATGGTTATTAAAGACTTCATACTGTTGATTGTCAGGGTCGTTGGAAAGGATTAGCTTCAGTTTCTCTGCAAACTCGATGGCATCCTTAACATTACCATGTGTTAACTTGTGTTCTTCTCGGGCTGACGCACCACCTGCATCTTCACTGATGTCATCGTCTTCCAACATCTCGTTGGCAGTCACTTCAGGATCCCTGATCACCTCCATAATGTCTTCAGTGGTGGTCTCGGAGAAGCCTGCAGCTGTAACACTCTGCGCAGCTTCTCTTGCAAAGTCCACTGCCACTGCAACAGGCTGAACCTCACAAGTCACAGGTTGACTCTGCCTCCCGCCTGGGATACCTTGTAACACATGCCGCCATGCGTGACGAATCGTTGCCACAGACAGCTGCCCCCATGCCTCCACCAAGAAATCAACAGCTTTCTTGACGTTGAATTTCTTCCAAAACTGTTTGACGTGAACTTCTTGCTCCGCCAACTCTTCTTCCTCGTCGTCGCTCTCGCTATCGGTGTCACCCAGGTTACGCATCTCATCCTTGGTGTTGGTACAGTCGTTCAGGAGCTTAAACTTCTTTCCAGAGAATGCAGCCTAAACGTTGCATATCAACTCCTGGTCCATGGGCTGGATTAACGACGTAGTGTTGGGAGGAAGGAAGACCACTTTTACGTTGGGGTGACGATCCAACAGTAGGGGCGAGTGTCATGGTGCGTTGTCAAGGAGCAACAAAATGTTGAATGGAACATTCTGTTGCTCACAGAATATCTTGACGTCGGGAATGAAATAGTCATCAAACCAGGAGAGGGACAAACCAGTGAACATCCACGCCTTACGTGCTGTTAGCCAGTGGACATTTAGCATGGTCATGTCCATGTTCTTGTAGGCGTGTGGCTTGCGGGCTGTGTGGATCACCGACAACTTGAGCTTACAGGTACCGGAGGCATTGGTGGTAAACAGAACGGTGATGCGCTCCTTCTGCAATTTCCGGCCACGACACTTGCTGGCAGACTTGACAACGAAGGTCTTGGTAGGTAGCTTTTTCCAAAACAGACCGGATTCATCCATGTTTAACACCTGGTCATGGTGTACTGTCCTTCCTTGTAAAGGCCTGGGAATTAGGGATAGAAATCCCTTACCAGACTAATCAGGTTTTTAATAAAGGAAAGTCAAGGACCATGGTTTTCTGAGGAATAGCAAACAACCGTTTGAGATTGACATCTCTTTACTATAAAAAATATAACACAAAACTCTGACACCACTCATCAAATAACAACGGGAGTCAAACAATTAATGCAGTCAATAGTTAATGGAGTTAAACAATTAAAGGGAGCAAACAATTAATGGGAGTCAACAACTGATAGAATCAAACAATGAACAGATATTTCCTACGGCAGTGGCCCTGGGGGAAGGTTCTGGAACACGGTGATCCACATTCAGGGTAGGGAAGCGTCCATTCAACTCCACACTCAAGCGACGTCTTGAAATGGCAGGAGAACACCGGGGCACAGACGGAATGAGATGAACTGACGGTCGTGGTATGTGGTAGTGGTAGATGACCAGAGAATTGACAGTCGATAGGTGAAGGTCTGGGGACACAGCCCACGAGTCCAGGACCTATGATGAGATCACAGCCAGAATTTGATGAACAGCGGGGTAGCTAGATAGTGACTGTATGGCTGCTGGGGTGAATCTGCCCGTGACACAGGTAGCAGCTGCCGTTCTCACCTCTGTCCAACCACCCAAGTGTTGTCCGCACCAGCAAATGAGAGAGTTAGCAGCGATAACGAGCAGGAAGATCGTTTCCGCCCTTACATTCCTCCATAACTTCTCGTAAGAATGGAGGAAAATCACTCGCTGCAACACGGTCAGCACTACCACCTTCACCAACAATGTTAAAGTTGGTGATCTTGTTCCTCTTCTTAAACCCTTGCAGCCACCCAGAGGAAGCAGTGAAGGGTCTGGGCTCTGCAATTCCCATCTTGCTTTCCACTGCGACGTACAGTTCACGGGCGTACTCTTGAACTGACCGCGTGTCCACCGCCATGTTCCGTCTTGCCTGACGAATCGAGTAGCTCACCAGCAAATTCTCAGTCTTGAGCAGCACCTTGTTTTGGCAGTACTTCACCATTGAAGCACCTGCAGACTTTATGATGCTCATGTGTTCTTTTATCTTGGCGGCATCCTTCTTGATCGTCCGGATCGTAGACTCGTTCATGCCATGCTGGCGCGCCAGATCAACTTGCCTCATACCTTTTTCCAACTCCTGCACGATCTTGTACTTAACTTCATAGCTTAAAGCTCTTCGTATCTTCTTAGGCTTGGGGAGGCTTGGGCCAGGTAGTTCAAGGTTTTCTGTGGTGGTGGGGTCCAGCGTAAGCCATTCTTGCGAGATTAGCGGGCACACGAGACAATAGTATACGCGGTGACTGAGAACAATGCTACTGGCGCAGGGTAGGTCAGCGGCTTCTTCCCTCCCGTGGCAGGGCATGTCATGTTACATTAAACCAATCACAGCTAGCGGGGGAGGGAGGTAAGGATGCGTGGCCCAATCACAGTCCGATATGTCATATGACATCACCGATAACGCAACAGCGACATACTGCGCAACCTTACTCGCGCCGCTTATAACGCCTTACCGTGGTATTAACTGTGAATGGAAGAATATCTCCAAGCATGATAGAATTCCCGGTGATTATCGTAAAAGAAAGGATATAACGAAGAGAAGGTGTTGTTAATAAAAAATGGCGCGGCACGGCTGGACCCGCCAGCTGCTCTCCGCGTAAATGACCAAATTTACCGCGTAATTAAAGCATTTCAGTTCTGGCAAGGCACCGCGTAAATGACCAAACGCATTAACCAAAACCGCGTAAATCCAGACTATACTGTAGACAATTATATTCTCATCGTGGAGGCACAGTTATGGCCAGACAGTGATTGGAGGAACATCTCTCTGTTTTTTGATGTTTGGTAGAATATCCTATTGTATATACTGTATGGTCTCTTTTCAGATCACCATGTGACACAATTATCCTATGTAGATACAGTATTGCACAGTACTTAAAGAAAATTCTGATGAAGGTAACTTCACTTAAGCAATCATATAAATTCTGGACAAAGGATTCAGGCCTGTATACAGTGTCTAGATCTTCATCTGCCTGCTGGACAATAACCAGTACGTACTGAGTTAGGTAGGCTAGTGGTGTCAGTATATATAGTCAGGAGTCAGTTATTGTACACAGCATCTTCATATGCCCAATGCTTCCCCAGTCATCTCTTGAAAGTTACCACTTTTTCAGTGAAACCGTCCATTCAGTTAAGGTGTTCCTTGGATCTCTAGTACACATTGAGAAGTTGTTATGCCTTTCGAGAGTGTTAATAGGTATAAATCAGAGGAGCATTATCTGGATAAGTTGATGGTGATCCCCAAACAGTAGCCAGTGTTGTCTCAAGTCTCACAGGTATACAGAAGATACTTGTTACATTAAATAGCTATCAATTAGCATAAGAAAATTTGAGCCCCTGATGTAGTACTGTAAATTACGAAGGTCTTCACTTACTCCATAACATGTAAGGCTGTGAATTATCTGTTCATTGTGGTCCAGAGAAATTAATTTAATTTATTTTTCACTAGACTGCAAGACAGGGGAAGTACGCGTAACTGATGGCTACAAACTCGCTGCCCGCTACATCCTCCACACAGTTGGTCCGCGCTACAATATCAAATACCAGACTGCTGCTGAGAGTGCCCTACACAATTGCTACAGGTATACCATATAATATTATTTCATTGTGTCTTCAGTATGATATTTGATCCACAGAGAGGATTATATTTACTTGATTCACTGAGGAGGAGTTAACTAGTGAAGCACATTTAGCTTAAAAGGAAGTTTGATGACTTAGTAGTTTTGCTCAAGTCCTGAAGTTGAGATAAATTTTGAAATGGTTACTGTATTGAGGATGGAATTCTTACATAGAGTTGCCAACAGGTGATTTACTGTTGTACAGATAAAGGATGGAGATGGGATCATAGATCACAAAAATTCTCTCTAATCACAATACTGTTTGCTAATTTTATAAAATGAGTTGGGAAAAGTTTCAATTATTAGTCATGAACAGCTGACCTACATCCCAAGATAAATAAAGAGCCTTGAGAGTCAGAGTGCAGCACAGTAAATATAGAATGGATAAATATTGTTGCTTTTCATTTGAGTTTGTCTTATTCCCGCGTATGTTAAGGGCCGACTGTAATGACATTTGGAGTGTGATAGTGCAGGATATCCTTTAAAGATAATGGCCACTTTACATCACTCCATGTTACCTCTTACATTGCCAAGACTACAGTAATTCTTGTTTTAAAATCTTAGGCCTTCCAATTTTCTTGATCATTAGAGAGCAGAAGTGTGTGTGTGTGTGTGTGTGTGTGTGCGTGTGCGTGCGTGCGTGCGTGAATGCGTGCGCGTGTGGTTCCTTTACAGCAATATTTTTTTTCAATCTTCACCAACAACATTTTATGGCCATTTTCCATGTCTGCTTTTATTTATTTATTTTTTTATTTTTCATCACTTAGCAGCTTACTAGCTGTTTGGGTGGTTGGTCTATCCAGTGTTAGTACAGGAGGAAACTGGAGTCTGGGAACTATTATGTTTGGTAGGGTCACACTGGATAACACCCTTCTCACGTGTGTCTGGGCCAAACAGGACTCGAACTACTGAATTGACATATTGGTGACAGATATGTGCATTACTGCTGTACGCCTCTGTCTTCATTTTGTTTTTCTGATTGTAAGTTCTTATGTTTAGACTTTGAAATACTTTACGTTCTTAATATTTTACAGACGAACTTTACAATGTGCACTGGAGAAGAAAATGCGTTCTTTGGCATTATGTGTGATCAACTCTGTGAGAAGAGGTTATCCTCCAGACCAAGGAGCTCATATTGCTTTACGTAAGTTGGTGCCTTATGTACTCTGCTTCAGTTGTTTAAGGGACATATAGTGTTAACCTTGTCAGTCTATCATTTTGTATAAAGATGAAAGCTAAGGTGTTCCATTGTTTCCCTTTTCCTGTGTGGTTTTATCGAGATTTATCTTGTCCACGTTTCCATTGTGGATCTACATGAAATACAGGACTGTACAAGCTAATGTTTTTTTTAATGCCATCATAGAATATCACATACCTGTATATAATAAAAGCATGATGGATTGGAAGCTTTCTCGGTGCTATTGGATGCAATGTAGCAGTTTCATATTTGCATTTATTATTACTGTTACAGCATAGCTGGAGGCATTATGAGTGATGCAGAGGTCCCCTAGCACCAAGTGGGAGTGAGAATGCATTCGACAGTTGTCAGAACTGCCATGACTTTTGGAGAAAAAATTGACTGCATTTCCTACAAGTCTTATAGACTTGTAGGAAATATATAGTAGATTAGAAAATGTTGACAAATGAATGCAATAAAGAAAAATCTATTTTAAATCTTCACAATTGCCAATACAGTAATTGAACACTATGATGTAGCTAGAAAGTTCCTGATACAGTAGCATTAATCTTGTAGCTGTGATGCACACATGTACTTATTTTTTTTGGCTTAATGCTCATAGTCAGGCCACTCATTGAAAATAGGGAGGTTTACTTGGGGTCCTTGAGTCCAAATTTATTTACCGTACTGATCATCCGTCCTTCTTTCCCCCTCCTTACACAGGCAGCCTCAAATGAGAGGACATGTGTGACAGTTGCCATCACCCCTGGATATGATTAGGGGAGAAGGCTGGAAGGTTCTCAGAGCCAGGTGTCTGACCAATTAGTCTTGGCTCTGCCCTCTATGATTCCACCTGAGTCTGTGGCTCACACACCAAAAACATATTGATTTCTAGCTGACCCTGACATTAACACATGTTTGATTGTCTCTACCTGACACATTCCAAAGTTAGGTCTCTTGGTCCAACTGCTGAGGTATCAGGAGTAGTTAGCTAAGATTTACTGCAGATTGGTGTTATCATATGTAGTACAACAGGGAAATGACAGTTTTTGAACCAAACTATTTTTTTACCATTTGATTGTTAAGAATTTTTAATGTGATTGGTTTAATCATAAATGGCTTAGGAACATAACCTTGTGATCCATCAAGATTTCACTTTATATGTATCATGATAAATAGTACTGTACAGTACAGCATTACACGAAAAGTTGATAATTTTGGCTTACATATTGTCACTAACATTGACTAAGTTGTTTGTTAACATTTGTGTGTGAGTGCTTGTTTCGTGCCCTTCAGATATGGCTTCCCAATCTTAGAAAAGATTCTATACCTGTATTGGGTAAAAGTTTTCATGTAATTAGTCAAATATGTCTAATAGACACACTAATATGATTTCATTAATTCTCTTGCTTTTAAAAAATTACAGGTACAGTAAGGCGATTTTTGGAGCATTGGGGACAAAGTGTGGAAAGGGTGATCTTTGTTGCTGACAGCATTGATGTTAGTATTTATGAGATTTTGATGCCCCTCTACTTCCCGAGATCTTCAGAAGAAGAAGAATGTAGTCGTTACCTCTTGCCTGTGAGTATCTGGTTTAATAGTTAATCAGTGTAGCTTGATTACAGGTACCATAATTGTTGTAATAGACTTGTATGTACAGTAATATTGTAGTGGTTTGTATTGTATAAATGTTATAAAAAATTTATTAGATGATCAAATGCAAGTAGAGTAAATTCTATGAATCGTGAAGTTAAACATGTGCTGTAGGGAAGAATTTTAATGTCTTAAGGAAAGTTTATGTACTGTAGTTATAAACTGGATATACTGTACAGGTGGTCCTTTACTTACAAGCAGTCAACTTATGAACTTTCAGAGATACAAACATCATGCCAGAGCAGGTGTTTAATGTGGATGAGACTGAATTATAGTGAAAGAAAAAGCCTGATAGAACATACATTGCCAAAGAGGAGAAGAGTATGCCAGGTTTTAAGGCTGTACTGTAGGATAAAGCTGTACTGTACATCCTTTATATTTTCATTTTTTACAATATGTTCAGTATCAACAAAAGTTGGACTTATGAACAAGTGGAGTTGCAAACAAGCCTCAGGAATGTAACTCATTCGTAGTAGAGGAGCTCCAGTAATTTATGTTTAACCCCTTGGGACTGAGGTCTCTGTGCTGAATAAAATCATCTGGTGTTGGCCAAATAAAATATCAAAAGTGGCATCCCATAGTGAAGTGGTTAATTGTCTAGAACTTCTTATAGGGCTTGATTTATTTTTGTATTAATGCCCAACACTCACATTACTTAATCAGATTATGGTTTTGCAGTACAGTATAGTGTTATTAGCTAATTGTCTTCAGGGTATTCGTGTACTTTACTGTACTGGATTAGCAACTGATTCACATCTTTAGGCTTTAATTTTTCTTAGTATTCCTCTCACACCCAAGCCTTCACAGGGCTGTTATAAATCTTCCTTACCAATCTTTCACTGGTCATGGTTTCAAAAATCCCATACCACCTTAGTCCATTGTTTTCCATTTGACTCTACATATTCTTATTAGGTTAGGTGAAATGAATTTAAAGATAAAAATATTTAAGTTGTAAAGCCTTTTTTTCATCATATTGATAAGAAATACTATGCATGTGATTGTCCAACATAGAAATAAAAGAGTATCTCAAATGCTCTTCATAAATGCTAAATATCTATGTACTGTATTATCTTTCTTAAACTTTGACATGCATGTGGTGGATCAAGGAAAACTGAAACCTCGAGCTAAGGGGCAGATAGGAAGGGAGAGTTGTCCAAGAAAAGTGTAGAAAATGATGGGAAAAGGCTGAAAAAGCACCTAGGAGTTGGTGACACACACACTCTTATTCCTATTCCCCATTTGCAATCCTTACTATTGTATGTAAGTTGTACTCTATATTTAGAAGATTTTTGTTGAATTTGTGTGGATGGATAAAAAGAATAAATATGAATAACAACCTGTTCTTTTCAGACTGATCTTGGAGATGAATACGGGGAACCTGTCATTCCTGACCGCCAGATCCGCATCATTGATAATCCCCAACATAAATATGAAGGTAAGAAATATACTTGAACACTGTATGATAAAAACATAATCATTAAACTTCTCAGGGAAAAAAAAATATGGTACTATCAAATAACTGAGAGACCTGATTGGTTCTTCCAGGTGATTGTTGCAAACATTTCTATGGCCATGAACTGTTTATCATTACCCGAAAGACAAATCTGAGAGCTGTGGTCATTAACAAGTATTGTAGGCCAAATATTTAATATGCTAAATACTGATTACTGATTACATTAAAAGAGTGTCACAAATTTAGACCAAGTATTCTTAAGTTACACATCTGGTTAGGTGTCACTGTCCTGTTGTCCTATTTCCAAAACTTCAGAGAGTTGAGCTAATAACACTACACTATTATAGCACATTGAAACCTCTTGGTATTTACCTTACAATTTTTATTGTGGCGGGAGTTACAATGCACCTCCATAAATTTACAACACAGAAAATATTAAAACCCATATGTGGAGAACGGAGATAGGATATTCTCTCATCATACCTGTAAATCTTACTCAGTGATTCTCCCGGTAACTGAGGTAAGCAGGACATGAGACATTCTTCGTCCCAGTTAGACTAGAGAGGACAGTTTACCTTGAAGCTGACATATCCTTTTATCATTCTTCACCATTTCCTTGTTACTGTTTTGGGTTGTCCAGCTTCAGCTATGGAAACTGGAATAATAGTTGTGATTAGATACATATCTCAATGAATGGTTTAATATATTGCTGGCAGAGTGAGATATGGATCAAAGGCAGAACAAATTGTTCATATATACAAGAGAACTTAGTGAGACTGGGAATCCTCTTACCCTCATTATTTTCTTTGTGTTGCTGTAAATTACTATTTTAAGGTATAAATTTTGAACATTATTAAGTACTGTTATAAAGACTTGTATTTAATGAGTTTCAGTCTGTTTCTTATATGTTTTAGCTTTTAGTTTTGAAACATTTCATATTACTTTTTTAACTACCCTTTGGAATGATGGGTAAAGAGAATTCAGAATTATTTATAAATAGTACTATATTGAATAAATTCAATCTTAAAAGTATTTCTACTACAGTAATTGAAATTATTAAGTGGGGTTATTTTGACAAAACATATATATTTCATGCATAGTTGGTCTAAATATATTTCAAATCTTCATATATGGGTTTAGCAAAAAGCCAGCTCGTATATCTGTTTTTCCGCACACAACAGCACTAATCCAGAACTTGAAGTTATGACACGCTTGGAGAATCTTGAACAGCAGCTCCTAAAATAATAACCCACAGCTCTCTTTACTAGATCTATTGCTCAGAACTGGAAAGAGTTAGTATTGCACAGAACCTTTTAGTTATATTATTAAGGGAGGGAAGCACAGCACAGTTTGAGAGACTGTTAGTGTTTTGATGTTTGCAGTGCATCTCCTCTGCTATGTGAGCTTAAGAAAAAATGCTGTGGTCATACCTTGAATTGCATTTGTGTACCGTATTGTACTTTGACATTTGTTTTATTATATGTAAAATGTTGTTGTTATCAGATTATATAAAGAAATATTAAAAATTCTTTAGAAATGGGATTGATAATTTTTTCTAATTAAGTTTTGCCATTACTATTGATAATTGGGAATAACTTTTTGATTAAACAATGTTCTCCAGTGAACCATAATTTACTTTTCGTTGAGTGATAAATCCCTGTGATATGAGGCCTTGTATACAGAGTATCTCAGATATATATATACACACTGCCTTACAGATTTTTGTGGCAATCATGTGTATGGTTGTATTACAACAGCAACATTGTTCTCACTTACTGATGTGTGAGGTCTCCAACAAGTGCAGACATGCAATCTCCACAAAAATATTTAAGGCCATATGTATATATATATTTTGAGACACCCTGGCAGAAAAAGTAACACATGGGCGTAATATCTATCTTTTTACCGTACACATAACCAGGTCCTAGTATCAAGGGCTCTTCTTTTTAAATTGTTATGAATCATTCAAACTTCATAGCTGGTTTCAGAGGCTCATATCAGACAGTAGCTTTTGGTTTTTCATGTGCAAGACCAAAGTAGCCTTAATGCAGTTCTTTATGTATATGTAAAAGGAATCTTATATCATAAGGGAGAAATAATAATTTGTGTAGGATAATTTATAAATTTGACAAAGACTTATTAAATTGTGATAAATTCTTCATGGTCTCAAGTCTTAACTCTTAGTATGAACTGTCTTTTAACACTTGCAGTCATTGAAGCTACTTGTTAAGGTTCAGAGTTGGAGGGCATTTGTGAATTAATAACGGGTTCAATGTAGTATACAGTGGTCCCTCGGTTAACGAACTCAATTCGTTCCAGAGGGTCGTTTGTTAACCGAAAATTTCGTAAACCGAAACCATTGTTTCAATGGGATTTTGGGTAATTGGTTCCAGTTCACCGAATATTACGTACAGAGTAAAAAAAAATGCAGTAAAGTTCACTTACTTTGAGGTGTGTATGTAGAAGGCTCTTGGTTGATGATGCTGATGTGAATTTGAAGTGGGAAGTGGAGGAGGAGAAGGGAGAAGAGAAGGAAGTGGGGCTGGAGGAGAAGCATTTTACTGCTTCTTGGAAGGTGAGTCACCTTCCATGAAAATGTCAGGAACCTCTGGACTGACAGATTCTCCAGCAGGAACATCGTCTTTCCTTCTTGAAGTGGAAGGCTGAGGGGTAGCATCTTTTTCCCGATGCCTTTTAGTGAAGAAACTGTAAATTTTTGTTTGTGGAGCATTTCTCCTCCTCATCATTAACTGATTTTTGAAGGAGCCCACTCTGTCCTCAACATTACACAAAATAGGTTCTGTTGTTTCCACATCTGGGTGTCTTGAAGCCAGTTTCCTGAACTTATCCCAGTGGTGACATCTTTCATATATGAAGTAGACATATGGTCATCACTTTCCCTTTCCTCATCACCACTGTCACCCTCTAACATCTCATCCAGTTGATGTAAGTCATCAGGAGTAAGTTCCTGCTCATGAGACATCACAAGCTCTTCCACATCATCCTCCTCCACTTCGAGGCCCAATGACTGACCAATGGACACAATCACCTTGTCCAACTCTGTTTCCTCCTCAAATCCCTCAAAATCGTGGACTGCTGATGGCCACAGTGCTTTCCATGCAGAATTCAGGGATCGAATGGAGACTTCTTGCCATGATGACACAATCAATTTTACAGCCTCCAGGATGTTGTATTGCATCTTCCAGAACTCTGCCAGATGAGGATCAGTGGAAGTTGCCTGATGACACCTTCTGAACATTTTCTTCATGTACAGCTTCTTGAAGTTGCTGATTACATTCTGGTCCACTGGCTGCATAATTGATGTAGTGTTGGGAGGCAAAAACAACACTTTGACAAAGTCAAATCTAGCCTCCAAAGTGCTGGCAAGTTCAGGGTCATGGCCAGGGGCATTATCCAGAAGGAGAAAAGCCTTTAAAGGGAGTTTATTGGTGGTTAGGTAGCTTTTCACAGAAGGACAAAACACCTCAACAGCCCATTCATTAAAGAGCTGTTTTCTTACCCATGCCTTACAGTTGGACTTCCAATAAACTCCAAGTTGTCCTCTTACCACCTTTTGTTGCTTGAACACCCTGGGGTTTTCAGAGTGGTAGACAAGCATAGGCTTCAGTCGGAAATCCCCTGAAACATTGGCACCAAGCAATAGAGTGAGACGGTCCTTCATGGGTTTATGCCCAGCTAAAGAGGCTTCATCTCTGGTGATGAATGTCCTTTTGGGCATTTTCTTCCAGAACAGCCCAGTTTCGTCCACATTGAACACTTGCTGTGGAAGATAATTTTCTTCATCCACCTGTTCCTTAAACTCCTCTACAAATTTTGCTGCTCCTTCTTTATCTGCACTGGCAGCTTCACCATGCCTAACAACACTAAAAATGTCACTTCTTTTCTTAAATTTTTCGAACCAGCCCTTGCTGGCCATAAACTCTTCAAACTCAGTTTCAGAAGAACGAGGTTGCTCTTCCTTCAAATGTTCGTAAATTTCCCTGGCTCATTCACAAATAAATTCAGTAGAAATTGACTCTCCTTTCATTTGTTTTTCTTTAATCCAAATGAGAAGTAACCTCTCTGTTTTTGAAATTAATGATCTACCTTTAAACACTCTGGTAGATTTGTCTCTCACTTTCACTTCTTTAAATTTGTCTTTCTGCGAAAGAATTGTCGACACAGTTGATGCCGACATGCCATATTCTTTGCTAAGCACATTTGTTCTACTCCCTTCTTCATGTTTCTTAATGATTTCCTGTTTCACCTGAATTGAAATCGCCTTTCTGGATTTCTTTGGACCCATGCTAGATTCAATACAATTTCACCACTAAAATTTTAAGTTCAATTGCTGTAATTAAAGATTATTTTATTTAAATCAACACTGCACTGCGCTATATATTATCAATATGTTAAATAAATTTCAGAATGACCAATAATTGTACTGTAAAAATGTTAAAATACTGTGTTCAAGAGAGCCACAAGCAAGATGTTTCCTCCTCTGAACAGAGACACAAACAGACGCCTTAGTGGGTGAGTGAAGTGGCTGATGGACGCACCAAAAACTAGTTCCCTGCACTGCAATTATGTTAAATAAGTGTGAAAATGACTAGTAATTTTAATATAAAACTTGGAAAAATATTGAATAGCACAACCTTCTTGATATTTACTCCAATGGTAACGAATGTAAGCCCAAGAACCGATTACTGTATTGGCTGACTAATCTACCAGCTGATGAGCAAGTGAAAATGTGTTGACATGTTTTCGTAAGAATTTCGTTAATAAAATTTTTGTTCGTTATCCGAATTGAAGATTCTTATGGAAAGTAATTCGTTAACCGAAGCGTTCGTTAACCGAGGGACCACTGTATTTGTTTGACTTTACACCATTGATGTAGCTTTATACAACAAGGCTGTAAGTAAGGAAGAGTTAATCTTGTAACAACTAACTTCAGTAAGTGGTATATATGGTAGTTAGTAAAT